ATTGCAACTCCCAAATGTCAAAGTCTGTGTTTCCCAAACTCCACCAGCACTCATATTTTGGAATATTGAGTATTTGTGCCAGGTTTGGTCCAGATCCATCATTGTTTGATTCCACAATGCTCTCTGGATGTAAGTGAACTACAACTCCAAAACTCAAGGTCAATGCCCACCAAACCCTTCCAGTATTTTCTGTTGGTCGTGGGAGTTCTGTGTGCCATTTTTTGGTTCAATTCCATTATTGGTGGAGTTCAGAATGCTCTCCGTTTGTAGGTGAATTATAAATCCCAGCAACTACAACTCTCAAATGACAAAATCAATCTCTCCCAACTCCACCTGTTGTAGTAGAGCCTGTTAGTAACTCTGCAAGTGGAAGTATGGGTGGCAGAAGGGGGGAAAGGAGTACTCGTGAACAAGAGTTAGACGAGGAACAACAAAGGAAACGGATCCGGGATATACTTATGACACCTACCAATGAAGACTCATTCGAATGGTTTTCTGATAGTGAAGGGTCAATGAGTGAGGGAGAGGAAGGAGATACGGTGGGTGTGAATAGAGGAACTAAGAAGGTTACTCGGGAGCAGGAATCGGATGAGGAGCGACAAAGGAAGAAGATCTGGGATATACTTATTGCTCCCACGGATGAAGAGTCATTCATGGGTTTCTCTAGGAGTGATGGGTCTGGGAGTGATGAGGATGGGGATGGCACACAGGATTGGACTAAGGTTCAAGAGGTACAAGATGTATGTACTCAGCCAACGTCTAGTGACACGCTTGTGGGGTTTTCTGGTGGTGGGGATTGGCAGTCAGGAGATACTTCTGAGTCTTGAGGAGATCTAAGTCTTGACAAAAGATGCAGGAGTTGGAGGGATGGGCATCGGAGTTCAGGTGTGGAACCATGGACAGCTGTAAGAGATGATGACGGGGCGGAGGTCAGCTCATCTTCGGATGATGAGGTGTAAGATAAAAGTAGGCTCTGAAATGGAGAATCTTTGCAGAAGGCAAAGTGTTGGTTTCGTGCCTTGGGTTTTGTCGCTGTCTATTTCATGTTGGGATTGGGTCCTGGATCTGCAGGTTGCTGTCTCCGTTCGTGTGTGTTTCGACTCAGCTTGGATTCTCGTGAGTGCGGATTTCCCCTTCTTTGACTTTGGACCGGTTTTGACTATGACGCTGCCTATGTGGATTTTGGAACCTCGCAACTTTGGACTTGGCTTACTTCCACCTCAGACTTCGTTTGACTATGTCTTCTTCCTTGTGGCTCTTTGTTTGTTCACCCCTTACTTGCTGTGTTATTTTGTGTGACTTTTGAAGCACTTTAGTTTAATCCAGATCTTTTCTCTGGATAATCCGGATTATTGCTTTAGTTTACCTTTTGAACTGGAACTGGTTGCTACTTTTGGGTTTTGACCAGAGACACCAAGTTAAGTGTCTCTGAGTCCCTTTTGCTTTGTTTTAATAAACTCTACTTTTGGACATACTCTTGAGTCTGGCTCCTTAAGGCATCTGGGTTCCGACACCACCAGTATTCAAATTTGGGAATATTGAGTATTTGTGCCAAATTTGGTCCAGTGAATGAAAACACATCCTGCATATCAGATACGTACATTATGATTCATAACAGTAGCAACGAAAATAGTTTTATGGTTGGGGGTCACCACAACATAAGGAACTGTATTAAGGGGTCGCAGCACTAGGAAGGTTGATAGCCACTGCTCCAGGAGCAGAAGTGAGCCTGCTGGCACAAAATGCCTCAGTAACTCCACCTTTGCTACACTGTGATCACCATGATAACGGACGCTCACTAGAAAGGCACTCAACATCCTTCCTGTTTTCCCTCTCCATCCGGCTTGAGGAAGGATTGTGTCCTTTCTTTACAGGAAAAGGAATTGTAAACAGCTTCTGCCAAGAAAGCTTTGAAAAATGTTCCCTCATTAGTTGCTTAACCTGAATAATAGATGCATCGAAATTTCTAAAAGCGCTATTTGTCTTTTGCTGTTGCTCTCGTAAAAATATGATATAGTGTGAGTGGAGCTCGGTCTTTTCACACAAAGGGAGATCAGACTTCTTATGCTGTAATGAAGAAGGGAGGTGAGGCCCTATTGAACTTGGAGTTGTTAGGAAAGTATCCCATAAAATGGCTGCTGTTCCTTTGGCCACCTTTATAGTGTAGCAATGAAACCATTTACCTCAGCATTCCTCAACCTGGGGGTCGGGACCCCTGGGGTGCCATGAGGGGGTGTCAAGAGAGGTCGTCAAAGACCGTCTGAAAACACAGTTTTTTCTGTTGGTCACAGGAGTTCTGTGTGGGAAGTTTGGCCCAATTCTATTGTTGGTGGGGTTCAGAATGCTCTTTCACTGTACTATAAATCCCAGCAACCATAACTTCCAAATGTCATGATCTATTTTCCCCAAACTCCACCAGTGTTCACATTTGGGCATATTGAGTATTCGTGCCAAGTTTGATCCATATCCATCATTGTTTGAGTCCACAGTGCTCTCTAGATATAGGTGAACTGCAACTCCAAAACTCAATGTCAATGCCCATCAAACCCTTCCAGTATTTTCTGTTGGTCATGGGAGTTCTATGTTTCAAATTTGGTTCAATTCCATTGTTAGTGGAGTTCAGAATGCTCTTTGATTGTAGGTGAACTATAAATCCTAGTAATTAAAACTCCCAAATGACAAAATCAATCCCTCCGCAACCCCACCAGTATTCAAATGTGGGCATATCGTGTATTTGTGCCAAATCCCAGCAATGACAACTTCCAATTATATATATATATATATATATATATATGATACATCCCAACAATCAACAAAAAATTTGCCATACAGGATTTATTTCAATATACATTATTCCAAAAGTAAATATTCCTTAAATGACATTTTATACATTCCTTAGTTATGTATCGCCCAACATCCTCCCCATTCCCCCCACTCCCCTGGAACAGCGATTCTAAATCATGTAAAGAAATGACAACTTCCAAATGACAAAATCAATCCTTCCCCCCAACCCCACCATTATTCAAATTTGGGCATATCAGGTATTTGTGCCAAATGTGGTCCAGTGAATGAAAATACATCCTGCATATCGGATATTTACATAACAATTCATAACAGTAGCAAAATTACAGTTATGAAGTAGCAACAAAAACAATGTTATGGTTGGAGGTCACCCCAACATGAGGAACTGTATTAAGGGGCGCAGCACGATGAAGGTTGAGAACCATTGAGTCAGGGCTTATTTTCAGGGGATATCTAATTTTTCCAAACTGACTTTTTTGAGAACTGTAACTAAGGCTTATTTTTTAAGTAGGGCTTGTATTTTGAGCATCCTCAAAAATCCTGAAAAATCATGCCAGGACTTATTTTCAGGGTAGGTCTTATTTTGGGGGAAAACAGAGTATATTGAAAGAGCACTATATTCAGGAAGACAAAGCTATAGAGACCATTTTTTGATCCAGTTGTTGTTGTTTATTCGTTCTGTCGCTTCCGACTCTTTGTGACCTCCTGGAACAGAGCTCCCTGTCAGCTGTAGCCACCCCCAGTTCCTTCAAAGTCAAGCCAGTCACTTCAAGGATAACATCCATCCATCTTGCCTTGGTTGGCCCCTCATCCTTTATCCTTCCATTTTCCCCAGCATCATCTCTTCTCCAAGGAGCCCCCAGTGGTGCAGTGGATTAAACTCCTGTGCCAGCAGGACTGAAGACCAACAAGTCACAGGTTCAAATCCAGGGAGAGCGTGGATGAGCTCCCTCTATCAGCTCCAGCTCCTCATGTGGGGACATGAGAGAAGCCTCCCACAAGGATGTATATTTATCGTGTCAGGCAACCAGACAATTGTATTACATTTCTAACAGAACAAAACAAACAAACAGACAGACAAAATACAAAATTTGTGAGTTTGGTAGTTGATTAAATGTCCTTTGACCGGTATCTGGCCACTTGGAGTGCTTCTGGTGTTACTGCAAGAAGGTCCTACATTGTGCATGTGGCAGGGCTCAGGTTGCATTGCAGCAGGTGGTCTGTGGTTTGCTCTTCTCCACACTCGCATGTCATAGATTCCACTTTGTAGCCCCATTTCTTCAGGTTGGCTCTGCATCTCGTGGTGCCAGAGCGCAGTCTGTTCAGCATCTTCCAAGTCGCCCAGTCTTCTGTGTGTCTCTCATTTGGTATCAGCCATTGGTTGAGGTTCTGGGTTTGAACCTGCCACTTTTGGACTCTCGCTTGCTGAGGTGTTCCACTGAGTGTCTCTGTAGATCTTAGAAAACTATTTCTAGATTTAAGTCGTTGACGTGCTGGCTGATACCCAAACAGGGGATGAGCTGGAGATGTCACTGCCTTGGTCTTTTCACTATTGGCTGCTACTTCCTGGCGGATGTCAGGTGGTGCAAGGATGATAAAACATCAAAACATCCGGGCGTCCCCTGGGTAACGTCCTTGCAGACAGCCAATTCTCTCACACCAGAAGCGATTGCAGTTTCTCAAGTCGCTCCTGACATGACAAAAAAAAATCTCTTCTCCAAGCTTTCCTGTCTTCTCATTATGTGGCCAAAGTACTTCATCTTTGCCTGATCCAGTATGAGACTATATTTCCACTGTTCTTCGGATTTAAGCCTTTTGCCTGCCATAGGAAACGTGCAAATGTTCTCTTTGGCCGCGTGCCTCAGTGGGCGAAAATGTTGAAACTAAACTAACCCTTAGGACCAATTTGCTGAGGAGTGCCAGAAAATGCAGGCCTCTCTTTTCAGAAATGTAATGAAATCCAGTTACTGATGTTGTATTACACTGATATCAAGGAATTCTTTCTTCCCATCTTTCTTTCTGTCAGTCTTGTTCCCTCTTTGTCTTTCTTCCTTCCTTCTCTCCTGAGGCCCTTTTTTTACTTGTTCCTCCCAGGCCCAAGGTAGTGAATTTAAAAAAAAAAAATACTTTTTATCTGATTTCCTCCACACCCTTTTCTTTCCAGCATTACTAAGGCTTGGAACAATAACAGGATGCCGGGATGCAGGACGGGAAAAGGGCAGACTCCCAGCTGGGAAACCTTGGAGATTGGGAAGCCGAACACTCCCTGTATTACTCAATGCAGAGTAATAGTGGGTTGCATTATGTTCTAGATATTACACTTTACCCAGTCAGGACATAGAGAACATTACGTGGACAGAGGTAACGGAATTGTGTCGATTCGGATAAAACCCAAGCCAGGTAAGAATCAAGGAAAAGATTGGGATATTTAAGGATTCTTGCTCTTGGTGCACTTGTTCTTGCCTAACTTGCTATGTCTCTTCCTCTATTTAAAAGTTATGTTGGGATGGCTTTGTATTGCATTTTTCCCATCATGCCTTCCATAATTGCACCTACATTTCATTATTGTGCTTATTATTTCATAGTCAATTATTTTATGTTAAGTACTAGCTGTCCCCTGCCAGGCATTGCTGTGGGCCAATCTGGTGACCTGGAAAATAAAGTAATGAGAAAGTGTTGGTTTCTAATATATGTAATTCCTTTATGCTTGTGAGTAAACAGTATTTCTTGTTGTTTCTTTGTCAGTGTTGATGTGGAAAGTGTCTGGTTTGCCTACTCTGGAATATGCAACATATCATAGTCCTTCTTTAAGGGTATCTTTCAAATCTATGATACTATATCTCTGTGTGTGTGAGAGAATCATATCTATCTATCTATATTTATGACTGGATGGCTCTTTATCAGGAGGGCTCTGATTACATTTTCTTGCCCTGGTGAAGAGAGTTGGACTGGATGGCCTTAAGTATTTCCTGTTGGTCATGGGGGTTCTGTGTGGGAAGTTTTCCCCATTTCTGTCATTTGTGGGTTTCAGAATGCTCTTTAATTGTAGTGAACTATAAATCCCAGTAACTACAAATCCCAAATGTCAAGGTCTATTTCCCTTAAACTCCATCTGTGTTCATATTTGGGCATATGGAATATTCGTGCCAAGTTTGGTCCAGATCCATCATTGTTTGAGTCCACGGTGCTCTCTGGATGTAGGTGAACTACAACTTCCAAAACTCAAGGTCAATGCCCACCAAACCCTTCCTGTGTGTTCTGTTGGTCATGGAAGTCCTGTATGCCATGTTTGGTTCAATTCCATCATTGATGGAGTTCAGAATGCTCTTTGATTGTAGGTGAACTATAAATCCCAGCAACTACAACTCCCAAATGTCAAGGTCTATTTCCCTTTAACTCCATCTGTGTTCATATTTGGGCATATGGAATATTCGTGCCAAGTTTGGTCCAGATCCCTCATTGTTTGAGTCCACAGTGCTCTCTGGATGTGGGTGAACTATAATTCCCAAACTCAATGTCAATGTCCACCAAACCCTTCCAGTTTTTTCTGTTGGTCATGGGAGCCCTGTGTGCTAAGTTTGGCCCAATTCCATCATTGGTGGAGTTCAGAATGCTCTTTGATTGTAGGTAAACTATAAATCCCAGCAACGACAATTCCCAAATGACAAAATCAATTTTTTGAGTGGAGGACATACATTGGGTTATTAGGAGTCTTGTGTCCAAATTTGGTGTCAATTCACCCAGTGGTTTTTGTGTTCTGATGGCATCACAAACGAACATTACATTTTTATTTATATAGATGATGATGATGTATATGTTACTTGTTTCAGAAGTGGTTTACAAATACAAAACAATGGGAAAATAAGGCCCCTTCCATACAGCTGCATAAAATCCCACATTATCTGCTTTGAACTGGAATATATGTGGACTCAGATAACCCAGTTCAAAGCAAATACTGTGGGATTTTCCGCCTTGGTATTCTGGGTTATATGGCTGTGTGGAAGGGCCCTAGTTAACAGCTCTTTTGGGATATTGTCAGAATGTGATGGGCCAAATCAAGGGACCCTACAATTGTCCAGGATGTGTGGTTGCAAGCTGGCTTTATTGATAGCATCGCTGTGCTCAAATTGCATGGTTGGAGAAACATATCTACATTCAGAATATTCCCCATTCCAGGATGCTCACAGATTGCAAAATCTCATAAGACACTGAGCTGTGTTTTTGTGAAAGTGGCCAGCGGTTCAAATCCAGGGAGCGGGGTGTACTCCAGCTGTTAGCCCCAGCTTCTGCCAACCTAGTAGTTTGAAAACAAGCAAATGTGAGTAGATCAATAGGTACCACTTCTGTAGGAAGGTGACGGTGCTACATGCAGTCATGCTGCCCACATGACCTTGGAGATGGCTATAGACAACACTGGCTCTTTGAGTTAGAAGTGGAGATGAGCATCACCCCCCAGAGTTGGACACGACTAGACTTAATGTCAAGGGGAAACCTTTACCTTTATCTTTACCTTTATATATTTAACTAGCCGTCCCCTGCCATGCTTTGCTGTGGCCCACCTGGGGGTTCTGTGTGGGAGGTTTGACCCAATTCTATCATTGGTGGGGTTCAGAATGCTCTGTGATTGTAGGTGAACTATAAATCCCAGCAACTACAACTCCCAAATGTTCTATTTTCCCCAAACTCCACCAGTGTTCACATTTGAGCATATTGAGTATTCGTGTAGAGTTTGGTCCAGATCCATAATTGTTTGAGTCCACAGTGATCTCTGGATGTAGGTGAACTACAACTCCAAAACCAAAGGACACTGCCCACCAAACCCTTCCAGTATTTTCTGTTGGTCATGGGAGAACTGTGTGCTAAGTTTGGTTCAATTCCATTGTTGGTGGGGTTCAGAATCCTCTTTGATTGTAGGCGAACTATAAATCCCAGCAACTACAACTCCCAAATGACAAAAGCAACTTTTTTGAGTGAAGTACATACATTGGGTTGTTAGGTGTCTTGTGTCCAAATTTGATGTCAATTCATCCAGTGGTTTTTGAGTTCTGTTAATCCCACAAACGAACATTACATTTTTATATAATCTATCTATCTATCTATCTATCTATCTATCTATCTATCTATCTATCTATCTATCTATCTATTTATTTACTTTGCTTATATACCGCTGTTCTCAGCCCGGGGGTGACTCACAGCGGTGTCTGTCTATCTATCTATCTATCTATCTATCTATCTATCTATCTATCTATCTACCTATCTATCGGTTTCATATCATCTCTACTGTATAAATAAGGTTTGGACATTTTTCCTTTACGCTTCCTTTACTTCACTTGATTCTTGTGTAGTTTCTTGTATCGCTGCTCCATGGGCTCATCACAAACATCATTGTCAACAGATTTTCTGTTCTTAATTCGAAGCTAATCCATTTTTTAGTAATTACCACAACTGAATCAACAAATTGTGCAAATGATAAAAGCTATAACAGTACAGTACTACACTTGAACAGCACAAAGGCTAGACGGTGCTTTGATTGTGCCTGGATGAAGCAGGTGAACTAGATGCCTTTTGGGGGTCTCTTCCAACTCTAGTGAAGTATAGGCTGCCTGGGAAACCTGTGGAATTGCCTTTTGCAGAGATTTTTGAACTATTTATTTATTTATATTTATTTATTGTGTCAGGAGCAACCAGACACTTGTATTACATTTTTAACAAAACAAACAGACAGGCAAAACACAAAGTTTGCAAGCTTGGTAGTTGATTAAATGTCCTTTGACCAGTGTCTGCCCACTTGGAGTGCCGCTGGTGTTGCCGCAAGAAGGTCCTCCATTGTGCATGGGGCAGGGCTCAGGTTGCATTGCAGCAGGTGGTCTGTGGTTTGCTCTTCTCCACACTCGCATGTCGAGGATTCCACTTTGTGGCCCCATTTCTTAAGGTTGGCTCTGCATCTCATGGTGCTAGAGCGCAGTCTGTTCAGCACCTTCCAAGTCACCCAGTTTTCTTTGTGCCCAGGGGGGAATCTCTCATTTGGTATCAGCCATTGATTGAGGTGCTGGGTTTGAGCCTGCCACTTTTGGACTCTCGCTCGCTGAGATGTTCCAGCGAGTATCTCTGTAGATCTTAGAAAACTATTTCTTGATTTAAGTCACTGACGTGCTGGGTGATACCCAAACAAGGGATGAGCTGGAGATGTCTCTGCCTTGTTCCTTTCACTATTGGCTGCTACTTCCCGGCGAATGTCAGGTGGTGCAATACCAGCTAGACAGTGTAATTTCTCCAGTGGAGTAGGGCGCAGACACCCTGTGATAATGCGGCATGTCTCATTAAGAGCCACATCCACTGTTTTAGCATGGTGGGATGTGTTCCACACTGGGCATGCATACTCAGCAGCAGAGTAGCATAGCACAAGGGCAGATGTCTTCACTGTGTCTGGTTGTGATCCCCAGGTTGTGCCAGTCAGCTTTCGTATGGTATCGTCTCTAGCACCCACTTTTTGCTTGATATTCAGGCAGTGCTTCTTGTGGGTCATGGTACGGTCCAGAGTGACTCCCAGATATTTGGGTGTGCTGCAATGCTCCAGTGGGATTCCTTCCCAGGTGATCCTTAGAGCTCGGGATGCTTGTCTGTTCTTAAGGTGAAAAGCACATGTCTGTGTTTTAGATGGATTAGGGATCAGCTGCCTTTCCCTGTAGTAGGCGGTAAGAGCACCTAGAGCTTCGGAGAGTTTCTTGAACTGAGGCTGGATGGATGGCTGCCTGTTGGGAGGTCTTTGATTATGTCTTCCTGTCTGGCTGAAGGGGCTTGGATTGGATGCCCTTTGGAGGGTCTCTTCATCCTCCCTTTCTTCTCCCTCCCTCCCTTCTCTGGCTGGGTCTGCTCTTTGGGCATTGCAACCGAAGACAACAAGAAGGAGGAGGATGGCAGGGCCTTGGGTTTGCTCTTGGTGCCGCCTAAGCATCCACTGTCACAGTTGCCCTTGCTGCCTGCTGCCTCCGCTTCCTCTGCTCCTCCAAGTGGAATCATAGTGCTATAGCTACAAAGGCACTTGCAAACATGCATTGCTGCTCCAGAAATGTATGTCTTTCTTTCCAGAATCCCTGCATCATTTGTGGCTTCAGTGAGTCAAAGGCTGGAGGCCTTTCCACACAGCCATATAACCCAGAAAATCAAGGCAGGTAAAGGTTTTCCTCTGACATTAAGTCCAGTCATGTCCGACTCTTGGGGTTGGTGCTCATCTCCATTTCTAAACCAAAGAGCCGGTGTTGTCTGTAGACACCTCCAAGGTCATGTGGCCGGCATGACTGCATGGAGCGTCGTTACCTTCCTGCAGAAATAGTACCTATTGATCTACTCATATTTTCATGTTTTCAATGTGATGTGGCAGCAAAAAAAGCCAATGGGAT